AAAAAAAGGCTAATATTTGTCATACATTGGTCAGGCCCTGTCCAAGCAGGCTTAAGAGAGACTCTGGGGACAAAACAAACTGACTCGCTGACCACAGGGAGTAACGGCCTTTGGTGTGTGCCCTGAGGCAACTGGGTGTGTGCGGGTCCCGCCAGCTCCTCAGCGCTCAGGTCTGTATTTAATCCTCAGGACGCCCCCAGGAGGTGACCACTATTAACGCCCCTGTTCACAGGGGAGACAGCTGAGGGGCAGTGCCTCGCCCAGAAGGCTCAGCTGAAGTGGAGTCAGCACAATCTCAGAAAGGCGGGCAGGGATCATCACCCCCATTTGGCAGATGAGAACACTAAGGCCCAGGAGGCGCCCTGCCTGGCCCGGCCTGGAGCCCCGGTCACTCACTTGCCATGGGGCCTGCCCCGGCACCACTCGCCCTCGTAGGTGGCCTGGCAGAGCCGGCCCTCCATGCGGAAGGTGTACTGTACGCAGCGGCAGGCGGGGAGCTCGGGCGGCTCCGGGCCAGCCCCCAGCACTGAGAAGTCCTTCTTCCCACGCAGGGCTTGGCTCACGGCTTGGGTCACCTTCCACTGCCAGACCACCTGGTGGGGGCAGGGGAAACACAGGGCAGGTCACTGGTGCTGGACACCTCCCCTCCAGGAAGCCTTCCCGGGTTAGGCACAGGCTGCTGCCGGCTCTAGGAGCCCTCTTCCACCCAGCTTTGTCACTTTGGGGAGCCTCCAACCTCTCCACACTGCTGCCCAGGGCCCTCCAGCCAGGCCTGATCCCCATCTGCAGGGCCTGCCCAGAGGGGCTGGACAAGACCACAGGACAGGGATCAACACAGGTCCAATCCTGGCTTCTTAAAGAAAAATACCCTGTTCTCCACAGCATTCCGATGCCTGACCCTAGGCTGACCCCTAACCTCAAGCTGACCTAAACCCTGACCCCAAGCTAACCACTGACCACAGGATGACCCCTGGCTCGTGCTGACCATGACCCAAGGGGCCTAACAGCCACTCACCCTGCACTCTCATGGAGCCATCTAGGGTTGCACATTCCTGCCCTCTTCCCACCCACCTGCCCCCTTCCCTCACTCCCCTTGACCCACTTCTCCAATTCAAAGCTCACGCACACTCACCCGGCCCTGGGGGTCCTTGGCACAAAAGGAGAACTCTTCTTCAGGCGTGAGAACTTGAAACGTGCACCTAGATAGGAGGTGATGAGCAGCCCCAGCTCCGTCCAGGAGCGGGTGAGGAGGGCCCAAACCTGAGCCCTGGGGTGTGGGCACTGCTCATGGGGGTGGAGGGAGAGAAGGTCTGCTGGTCAATGCAGGGGAACACTCACCCGTCCTGCCCAGGATCTACCCACACCAGCTTCAGATCAAAGGTGTGGACATGGTGGCCCTAGAAGAAGACAGGGCACAGGCATCACCCAGAGCCCAAACCAAATGCTCACCTATGTCTCTGGTCCAGGCTTGTCCCCAAGCAGCAACCCCCCCAGTACCCCCTAGTAGTCCCTCAGGCTGCTCAGGCCAGCATCCCAGCACTGAGTCCCTCACCCTTCCCCCAGCCTATGCCTCACCTCTGGGGCAGCTCCTCCATTTCCTCTCCCACCTAATACCAGGAATCGGGATCAATGCCCCACCCACCCCCCACCCTGCCCCGCTTCTGTCCGTCATCCCTGCTGGAAACCCTCTAAGGCTCCTGTGGCAAGCCGCACTGCTGAGCCTCACATTCAAGACCCACACAGGCCACTCCAGGCTCACGTGCCCATACCCCACGCCCTCTTCACATCCCCAGCATGGCCACTGAACACCTGCATGGCCACCGCACACCTGCACGGCCACCACCCACCTGCACGGCCACTGTATAACTGCAACAGCCACTGCACCCCTGCAATGGCCACTGCACCCCTGCACCTTCTTGACCCTGCCTCCAACTCTCCTCCATCCTTTGCTCCTGCCATTCCTTCTACCTGGAGTGCCATTCCTGCTGTAAAAGCCAGACCCACATCCCCTTCTCTAGGAAGATTTTGTGTAGAGCCCCTGGCCCGGCCCAGCCAGGCCAGTCACTGCTCCATGAGCACAAAAGGCTTCTTGGAGGAGGCAGCATCAGGCCCAGGCCCGAAGGGTGAGAAGTTTGCCAGATGCAGGCCAGGGACTAGAGTGGGTCAGGAAGAGAGAACATCACGTGCAAAGGCCCGGAGGTGGGAAAAGGCTTGGCACATTCCAGGGACTGAATCTTCAGGGTATCTAGAGCACACAGCATGAAGTCGGGAGTGGAAGGGAACTCATACTAAATCAGAACAACCCCCAAACCAGGCGTCAGGAGGCACAAGCCTGGGCTGGGCAGTCCATCCCTCCCGGGCCTTGGTCTCCTTGTCTACAGCATAATGGACTCCCAGGCTGGCATTCTAACAGGGCAGAGAAGACAGTGCTATGGATACCATAAGGGCAGTGAGTTCACTGGGGGCTAAGCACAGTCAAGGTTACTGGCCAAGTTACGATTCCCAAACCCCAGGCCTGGCTCCCTCCTGACTTTCATCACGCCGAGGCCCAGGTGCTGGTTCTGCGTGGTGGTTTTCTCTAGAAGCTTTGCACATGCCCTGAATGGTTCACCCACCCCCTCCTCTGCCGCTGCAAACCACCAGTGACCCCCTGCCTGATGAGGAGGGGAACTGATAGCTGTCTGGCCCCTGCTGTACGACTAACTTACTAACAATTATCCCCATCTTTCAGATGACAAACCGAGATGAAGACATGCAATCAAGGACGCCATCTGGGAAGTGTTGAAGACAAGACGCACCTCGGCAGCCCACACTCCCTCAGGAATGGCATGTGGATGCTGGCATTACACAGATCGTGGCTCAGCTGACTGCCCCACCCCAGCACTTGGCCATCGGTCCCCCACCAGCTCCCCAAGCCCAAGTTCTCGCTCCCAGCTGGTTGTCCCTTTCCCATTCCTTCTTCAGCCAGACCCCAGGAGCCCACTGTGGCCCCAAGGCCTCGGGTCAACCCCATCCAACCTGCAGCAGGACAAGGGTGTCATCAAACAGCAGCACGCGCTGTGCCCGCAGTGGGGAGACTGTCACTGGAATGTCCTGGCTGTCTTGCAAGAGCCGGTGAGCAGGGCTGCAGAGCACATCCTAGTGGGCAAGCAGGAGGGCAAGGCTCAGGCCCTCCTGTCCTGGAAGCTGCCAGCTGCTCTGCCACCTGGCCCACCCTAGGCATTGGAGGCTGAGGGAGCTGGCCCAGGACAGCAGGGCCCTGCCCATCCCTCTGCACTCCAGATACCTCCACAACGCGTCCTCCAGTGGACCCCAGCACCCTCTAGGCCAGTGGTAGGCACAGGGCTCAAGCCACAGGTCCCAGCAGGGCAGCACAAATTCTCTCTCGAAGCTTCACCTTGTCTACCCTCATCCCACCCCCACCCCCATGCCATGGCCCCAGCCAAGCCTCCATCAACTCTCACCCAGGATTCTGGCAACTCTTGCCCCTCTACCTGTCCTCCTAATTCTCTACACTCAGCCTGTTATGCCCTCTTGGGACACAGGAGACTCTC